CTATATACATATATACATGACTTTTTTATTTCTTTCTTTTAATATTTTTTTTTGTAACTTATTTTAATTTATTTTAATTAAATTTTTAATGAAACATCAATTCAAATAATTAACAATTAAAAATGTTACACTTACACTGTACAAAAATGTATTTTAACTGATTAAAATGTTTTTTAAGTGTTAATAGAAAAAATATAAATAATATTAATACTCATTATAATATTAATAATATATTACATATTTTACATTTTTTGATTAATAATAAATTAATCAATTAATTAACAAATAAAAATGTTACACTTGAATTTATTACAAATTTATTTTAAATGATAATAGAAAACTATTCAAATCAAGTAGCAGCTGCAAACAAATTATTTTAGATGTTTTCTCAGAACTATTTGTGTGTGTGTGTGTGTGTGTCTCAAATGTTCAAACACTTTTATTCTGTAGTATCTTGATCTCCATGTGAGACGGACTGACAGATTATTCCACTCTTGTGGGAGTTGGCTGAATTTACATATTGTACCTACATAAAACAGGTGAGAGGTTAAATTTTAGCTGTATTATATTTAACAGCCCAGCCCTGCCATACGGCAGATGGGCAGCTTTAGGCAGTGAGTGTACACTTTTAAACACATAAGCAAAATGGCTGATGAGCTTCACTTGTATTAAAGCTGCAGGCTAAACACCTGTGCAGAGCGTGTATGTGTGTGTGTGAGAAACACAGGGTGAGTGTATGTATTTTAGGGTGTGGCTAACTGCCTCGGCTCTGTGGACAAACAGCCTCACAGCAGCACCTGATACATGCGAGTTTCTGGTTACCTCTTTCTGATGTGATTTCAAACCTATTTACAGTCTAATAAAGGAATGAAACCAATGAGTCAAAACCAAACAATTCCTGCCTGCAGACTCGATTGCCTCATTACTTTCTGCCATTCCTCACACCTGTTGATCCCGAGGCTTGCGAAGCGGTCACAAACATTTCTTAAAGTATGACGTCGTCACCACAGTCGAGCAAGTCAGCTTTTATATGCAAGAAACAAACATGATGATTACCAAAATAACCACTTGTGGAAATTCAAAAATGATCACTAATTGTTTCTTAAAGGAATATTCTGGATTCAACACAGGTTAAGCTTAATAGACAAGTTTAATTGTAGCATATAATGTTGATTACCGCAAAAATATTTTTTTTCTTAAAAGCAAAACCTGAGGTGAGGTTGAGTGTTTTTAAGACTCAAATTTTTGGAAGATTTCAAAGGTCAAAATATGCTTAAAATGCATAAACACACATATTGTTAACATATTATGGCTTTACTATTGAAACAGTAAGTATGTTAAAATTTGCAGATTGGCCCGATTCACTTTTATTGTAAGCGCAGGTTGAAATTTATTTTTGTGGTAATTACCATTATCCCACGTTCCCAGAATATTCCTTTAATGGCTATGCAATTCAAATCAATGTATCTTGAGAGTGCCGTACCACCCAGAGGGGGACGATCTTACAATCCACAGTAATCCAGATTACATAGATGCAATACTGAAAACAAAAGAGCTGGAACGGTCTGTTCAGTGTCAACGCCGGCGGCCATTTATCAGAACCATCAACGGGTTTCAGTCTCAGGCGACTGGCACAATACGCTCTGACAAACAGGAGGGCTTCCCATTCTTTGAGACTGCCACTGGGAAAACGGATTTGAGGAATTAATCTTAGCATGGAACTGAAGAGGAGAAAGTAACCAGGCCTCGGTATTGTCCCCTTTTCTCTGAATAGGGCTTTGTGAGGGAAGCACAGCTGCCACCATCATCACACCCATCTTTTGGACATACTTTTATCCAGTATCCAGATGAGTTCGGTGGTATTTTCACACGTAGATGTATGTGGAGGAAGTCAGGTGACTTGAGCACACAAAGATCTATTAGATGCAACCCGACCATGCCATAAGCAACAAGTTGCGACAAGCTGCAGGACCACGAATAGTTGCTGACGGCACCTATTTTGACAGCTCCATACAATAACGGAAATATCACTGCACCTGACACACAGTGAGTTCTGGGTTTAGAATAGAACGAGCAGAAGCTCTCCAGAGGGTCTCTGGCTAAATGGCCTCTGTCCCTCTCCCTGCTGGTGGTGACAGCTGCCTGGTAGCAAGGGTCTTCCCTCCAAAACTTGGCCATTATACCCCAGCTGTGAGCAGCTGGTCTCCCATAAACACACACACACACATCCTCTAAATCTGGCTATTAAATGGCAATGTGATGCAAATGAGGGCAAGGCAAGAACATCATTCAGCTTTTCTTGTTTTGAGGTGGAACCAGAGTCATCTAAACATCTTTAACAATTGACTTCAATCCACCTGGAGTGATTTTAAGACTTTTGAATGCACATTAAAAAATCACGTAATCCCGAAAACAGTACCTGAAGGTGCGGTCACATTAGTGAAATTTTCAACAAAGGTTTGCAGACAAAAAAGGTCCATTGTCCAATAGTGTAACTTAGGGGGACCATATGCCCTCTTTTTCCCAGACATGTCCTTGCCAGGATTTCTTAATTGCCTAGAATGTTAGTGTTTTGGCTTTGTATTCCTATTGAAGTGCTCTCTACAGTCCTTGTACATTATAAAAGGACGTATGGTCACCCTGGTGTAACTCACGCTTTCAAACTAAGCAGCCTTCTGTTGGCCAATGCAGAGAATCCATGAACAACTTGAACCTGTTGCGAAATGGGATCACGTGGATTCCTATTGAAATGACTGGATTAGGTATGCGAAAATTCGCCAAACAACGGCAAATGTGACCGCAGCTTTAGTGTCCACTTTGTATACGCTTTGTTTACGCCACGCAGACCGGACATTACCAACACTTGGGTTTCTTTCAGAAGCTCTGCCTTCTGTCACTTTTCGAGGATGTTAATATGGTGCTGTCTGGTTGCATTTATTAGCCCATACGTAAAAATAACGTGCGCATGTTCCTGCACGTAATGCATGTGTATTTAGGTTTTATTTTAAATAAATAAATAAAAAATATATAGGCCTATTCTTAAAAAAAACATTGCAACTTTATTATTTAATCACGATTTCTCTGATTTATAATTTTCTTGTCACAACAAAATGGCTTCTTGCATGTTGATTTTTTCCCCCAAAATTAATAAAATTAAGAATGCATAACTTCCTGTTTTTTAAGAAATACACCACTCTTTGCCTTGATGTGCAGTAACCAGGCTTTGGAGAGCCCAGCTGTGAGGGCTTATTGTTGGAGTCGGTAGGAAGTGCTGATAGCTTGCGCAGCTGAACAAAAGCGGGATGAGCGAGTGGAGGGGCGCTCCAGACTCTTCGGCTCCAGCCGAGATTCTCTCTCACAGTCCCGATACTGCACTCCCATTGTTCAGCTCCTCCTCCGCCTCCCCTCAACCCCGCTCAGCTGTGACTGAGCCAGAAACGCTCCAGTCCCTCTAACTCCTGCAGGATGTTCAGCTATGTGTCCGAACCGATACGTAAAAATAACGTGCGCATGTTCCGCTCGGCGCCAGGCTGACAGGCGTCAAGGCTCGAATGAATGGGTGACGTCACGGCGCTGGCGCCCGGCAGTCTGCTTCGGTTTGTTTGGACAATCTGGGGGAAGAATCAGAGCACAGCAATGCAAAGTTATGTGAGTGAGTGCGCGCTCAAGGCGACGCGCACATATGAAGGAATTTGGAGGTTTTTGCGCGACATTCAACGAAATTCAATGAGACAATCATTGATGGAAAATAAACAGATAGAGAAACATTTGAATAAAAACGAGATTGTGGCAAGACTTGGTTGCACAATAAACCTCAGCACTATACAAGTAATGCACTTAGTGTACGATAATGGACTATGAATGTGCAAACAAAATAGTTCAAACTGGCGAAATATCCTTAAAAGTAGCTTAGCCTGTAAACTTATAATTTTGCATCAGTTCACAATAAATGTCTTATGTATTGAAACACACAGAATCTCATATCATGCCTTGTACCACGAGTTTATCAGATTTTATACAAACCACAAGACAAATATTTGATATTAAGCAACGATTTATTAATGTATAACTTTTTGGATTAAAATGCATTGTAAAAAAAAACTTAAAAAAAAAAAACTCTTGCAAAGCCATAGTAGCCTATATGTTATAAATAGTTTGTTTGGCATAGCCTACTTCTTTTTATTCTTCTTAAAACAGTGAATCAAAAATTATTTTTTAAAGCTCAATGTCAGTGGAGTTTTAAAATAGGCTATCATTAATATTTAAAAAACATTTGTCAGTGAAATAAAAGCCATTGTGGCATAACCAACATGCATGAAGCCATTTTGTTGTCATGTGACAATAAAATAATAGCAGAGATGATCCCTTTAGACACTCATGATGTCAAGGTCATTAAATTAAGAATTAAAAAAAGGTTTTATATATATATATATATATAGAGATTTATATATTTTATATATATATATATATATAGAGAGAGATATATATATATACACAGGTATATATATATTTTTTTTTTATTTTTTTTATTTTTTACTTAAAATGTTATGTTGACATATTCACACACATTTGTTTAAGGTGCACAACTCGCCCACTGCAATGACAGAAATGACTGTGGCAAATTAAATGGATGGAAACAAAGATGGTGAAGAAACATTTTACAGTGTGCTTTGTTTCTTGAAGCAGCCCACATACGAAGAAAGCTTGTTTCATTTGAAAGTAATAACTGTTGTCTGTTGATCCTCGACCACCCCCACCCTCCGCTTGATCTGTCTGCTTCACCTGTGGAGTGCACGGACAGCTGGATATCCACAGATCATTCGCAGGAGACACACATTTGTTTCCATTTGTAACACCATCCCCCAAGCATATTGTAACTGCGATAATGGAGCTGCGCTGTCATTGGCTCAGCGAGCGACTCCGGTGAAACCCCATTGGCCCGAGCCTGCAAACACGAGTGTTTGGTGACTCCCACAAGCACCGACATCCTTTAAATACCGAACAACTCGGCTCTGCAAGCATGTGGTGAACTGTCATCGCACTCTCGACGACTCAAGACCCTAAAGGAGTACGAGCCTATCGCTTCAGCTCATTCCCTTTGACTTAACCGTCAACCTTTACAGCCAAAATGAAAGTTGTGGGACCTACCTGCGCGCTGAAGAGCAGCAAAGTTGGAGGGGAGGATGTTGTCCGCTGCCTCTCCGAACAGAGCCTGACCATCTCCAAATGCAAGATCCCGCTGCTGGACGAGCAGATGACCATGTTTCTGCAGGACATGAACAACTGCTACAGCAAACTGAAAGAGCTGGTGCCCACGCTACCGACCAACAAGAAAGCCAGCAAGGTGGAGATCCTGCAGCACGTTATTGATTACATCTGGGACTTGCAGGTGGAGCTGGAAAGCAAGAAGAACCAGAGCTCCGCTCCCCGGACGCCCCTCACGACTCTGAACGCGGAACTGGCCAGCATTTCTGTTGAGGTAAATATCAAATGTATTGGCTAGAATATGATGCTTTGCGTTCAAATAAATGACCTATTCAAAGCAGCATGTCTGAAAGACTCAACTCATGATGTTTCCCCTCTTGTCTTGCAGAATGGCTGTTCAGATGACCGAATCATGTGCCGTTAAAGTTGATGATCCCGGTTTCACGTCAACTGATCGGAGCATCGCGAAGAATGAACAAGGTGCGCGGAGGTGATGATGGACCAGAACCACCGTGTGACGCCTTGAACTGTGTTGGGAGGATCTCCTTCTCCTGTTGTAGAGGAAAACAGCTTTCAGTAGAGAGTCACAAAACCCGTGGACATGAGAACTGAAGTGTGACGTTCTCTCTGAGATCTTCCCAAACATATCGATGTGTGTTAGCTGTGGAATCCATGGCGATTATTCACTTATAGTTCATGCATTTCCCTTTCGGTCAAAGTTTCTCCAATGTTTTGATAACTTTTTAGAAAAATGTCTATTTTGTTGTAAAGTTTTCTCAGATTACTGAGCGAAAGAATGTATTGTATATTACAATGACATATGATGTGAATGCCTTATTGTGTTTTTTACAATGTATATTGTGTTTTTTAATTAAAAACAAGAAAATTAGACCTATTTCGGACTTGTTTTATCCATTTTGGGTGTGAGAATGAATGGATGGAAGTTGGGCTGAGTTGAGAAAATGCTGTTTACTTTGTTCAAAAAAAGTTTAGTTGGTCAGTTTTACTGACATCTAAAATGAATTGGTCTCACAAGGTTAGAGGTCATTTAGTTAACACATTAAGCTGTAACATGTTTTCAAGTTATAATATCCTTGTTAACATTTAACCTGACAATTCTGTCATTACAGTTTGATTTTTGTCAATTTCAACTTGATTTGCTTCATCAGTAATTAAATTGAAAGTGAACTTATCACTTCAGATTGTAAATTTTAAGGGCAAACAAAACTTAAAATTAGCAATCAAACTTTTGATAGTAGGTTGATTTTTTTTAAATAGCCTAAATAAATAAAAAATAGCCACTTTTAATCTTCAGATAAAACTGATAAATATAACTACATTGACAATAACAATGAAAAGCCGATAAACAAACAGCAAAAAAAAAAAAAGTGCATTAAATATCTATAGGATGGAAGAGAGGTTAACTAATGTCCAATTAAATTGGGCTAAATGAATAAAATAATTTATATGTATAAGTAATTAGTTTTAAAAAATAAATATTTCATTTATTAGTCATTTTTAGCTAGTGATTTTTGTAAACACTTTCTAAACTCTATGATTTTTACGCATCCCAGTATTTAAAAGCCGGGTAGCGGAAGGGTTAAGTGTTTTCCGAGAAAAAGGCAGTTCGTTATAAGATTTATTCCGTCTCCCTGGTGCAATGTTTTTCTCATTTCCCTGCGGTGTGATGCGCGCAGCTGCAGTCCTCGCGATGTGCGGCTCGGCCAGTGTGTGTGATTGTGTTTGTGTGATCGCTTTGTGCCAAGGGCAGGGGAGGGCGCAGACTGAGCGGCGCCGCCGCACACCTGGGGAAGTTCAGGTTAAATCGCTCCACATTCCTCGGCACACAGCTGATTGAAACATTAACAAACAGTAATCCGCAAGCCCGGGCTGCAGATGGGCCGGGAACACGGCCAAGGAACTCTCGCTCCCTCTGTATAGTTTCCCACATACTACAACGAAAGCGTCTTTTAAAAAGAACTTTGCGCCTTTAAACATTGAGCCACACACTACAGCCAACATTTCCAATAAAACGTCAACTAAAGCTCAGCAACACGCGCTTTGAAAACAGTAGACAAAAGGATCATGTTGTTTTTTAGGCCAGTGTGAAATACTTTAAATTAATTGCGGCAAAAGGCAATTTTATGTTAATTAAGAGGCGTTTAGCCAGCATGTTTGTATACTGAAACTTTTCTCAGACGGAAAAGTGATGGATAATCTGTAGGCTACATCCGTTTTAATAAATCATTACGCTCATCGTTGTAATTGGATGCTACTTACGCCCTATTATTATTGCGGTAGATGAAGACAAACCCCTTATCAAGGATAAAGTTCGAGGTGTAGTTGTGAAGCTGGACATTTTAGCCTCTAGCGCCCCTCTGCGGCTACACGGTGAACTTCAGTTTCACGTCATCCCAAACACACACACACGTTGGTTTTATGAAGATTTTGCTTTGACTTACCACTTTTTATTATTAACTAACAATATTTTATGTACCCTATACTTCACAGAAATATTTTAAGTATTTAGGTACATTTAGATTAATTAAATTCTTATTTAGTAATTTTAAGCCACTTTAACAGTTTGTAGATTGCATATCTTGAGAAGTGGGACAAAACCTGTCCAGCAAGGGTAACTGCTATTAGCTTTAAAAAATAAAAAATATGTTCAATTTTAAATGTCATGAGGGATTAATAATAGAATGTATTTAACACAATTATCACCTTAAATTAAATTTTCTCATTATTGTACCAAATCTGTGTTTCTTAATGTCCTCTCACTACATCTAAAACAGTGTGTCCACAGAGAAGAGTTCAATCATTCATATGCAATAAAATGGATAAAAATG